TCACAAAACATCAAATTATATGTCACAGATTACTTTTATTGGTTACAAATGAATAAATTTGTACGTCACACAATATTTATTGGTCACAATTTATTCTTTATGGATCGCATACCAACCAATTTATTGGTCACAATTCAACAAATCATTTGTGATCACCACCAACACAACAACACCGTCATCTCCGCCGCCAACATCAACACCACAGAAATCACCACCACCCCAATGAAAATGACCTCACCACCACCACCACTAGAAAACCACCTCACCGCCACCACCCCCAACAACCTCCAAACCGTCGCACACCTCACACATATTACAAACCTCCACTACCAATTTCAACCTCCTTCGTACAGATCACAAACCCCGAAACACACCTCGCACAGATCACAACCCTGCAACACACCTCAAACAGATCACAAACCTCCACCACCCAATTTCAACCTCCTCTGTTCCTCCATGCGGCGCCACCACCATCAACCCCACTATCAATCACCGACGCTCATACCTCCATCAACACCACTCGACACACCTCCACCGCATCAATGAAAAAAAAATGAGGAAGAGCATATTTGAACCAATACTGGGTTTGCACAAAGCCGTCGCGGTGATGGAACGAAAAAATGAAACGGTCGTGGTGCCGACGGGCTGCAGTGAGAGAGAGAGAGAGAGAGAGAGAGAGAAAATGAAATTAGAGTTTGAAAATTGTGTAGAATGGATTTAAATAAAAATTAGTTTAAAAATAATTAATTAAAACCTAATTTATGTATTAAAGTTGATTCTGAATTTTTGAAAATAATAACTTAAAAACCTTTGTGAATGTAATTTCCTCTTAAAATTAACTCAAAGTTGTGAGGGATTTTCAAAGCCTAAGACCCTATTTTGTTTAAAATAGTGGCTATTTGGCTAAAGTCAAAAGGCCTTTTTATGACCCAAAAAATCTTTTATAAAGATGATTAATTATATTTAATGGAGCTTTAAATTAACAAAATATATATTAGCTGAGATTAAAATCTGATTTTTTTTTTTTTGGGAGATTTTGATAGAAGGTATAAATATAACTTCTAACCCTAATAAATAAACGGTAAATTGCAAAATTTGTCCCTAACCTTTGTCAAAAGTAGCAATTTTGTCCTCAACCCTTTTTTTAGTTTTCATCCACAACCTCTCATAAATTAGATATTTCATCCTTATGGATGGTTTTCATCCAAAGGAGCTGTTAATGAGATCTCTTGACTTTCAATATCATTCTTACGCCAATAAGTGGATATGGATATGTTGTTACCTTT